AAAAAAAAAAAAAAAAAGCTGAAAACCGCCACTCCCTCTCACGACGAACCACCACCTCTGAGCGGCGGAGAAGGCGGGCCCACGTCCACAACCCCCTCGAGCATCTGCACCACTTTCCCCATCGCCGGCCTCATCGAAGCCTGCTCCTGCACACACCAGAACGCAACCCGTAGGCACCTCGCAGCCTGCGCCGCCACATCAGCATCCTCCTCCTCCGAAACCCGACTGTCCAAAACCGAACCCACATTCCCCTTCTCAAACTCCCCGTACGCCCAAACCCAAAACCTCCTCCCGCCCGTCTCTCCCGACACCTCGAAATTCCTCCTCCCACTCACAATCTCCAGCAAAACCATCCCATAACTGTACACATCAGCCTTCGAGTTTATCGGGAGATTCGCAATCCACTCTGGCGCCAAGTAACCCCTCGTCCCCCGGACGGCTGTCGTCAGGCTCCTCCGAGCCCTCTCGTCGTCCAGTCGCGCCAGCCCGAAATCCGAAATCCGAGCATTGAAGCTTTCATCAAGGAGTATGTTTTCGGGCTTTATGTCGCAGTGGAGAATGCAGTCTCGGCACTCCTCGTGCAAGTACGCGAGCCCTTTCGCCGTCCCGAGAGCAATGTTGTACCGTCGCTGCCAGCTCAGCGGCAGCACTCTCGTTTTTTCGAAGAGAATCGTGTCAAGGGACCCGTTTTTCATGAACTCGTACACGAGCATTCGGTGCTTGCCCTCCGAGCAGAACCCGATTAGCCTCACTAAATTCAAATGGTGAGTGCTGCTTATCGTGGCGACTTCCATTCGGAACTGTTTTTCGCCCTGCCCGAATATTCCCTCCAATTTTTTCACGGCGATTGGGGTTTTATTCGGTAGAAGAAGGCCTTTGTAGACCGAACCGAATCCTCCAGCCCCGAGCTTCTCTGCAAAACCTTTTGTTCCTTTATGAAGCTCCTTGTACGAGAATTGGATGGGCACGCCGGAAGCATAATCCAAAAACGAGTGCTGAGAAAGCAAACTATCGTATCCCGTTTTCGACCTTACGTAAAACCATAAAACGCAACCGACTAATAGAAACAGAACAAAACCGGCCACTAGAACAATAACAGCAATCTCTAGCCTCTCGGATCTCTTGTCACTACCCCTTTTTCTACGTGAATTTAACACGACGGGCCCACACACCTTAACGAAAGACGTGTCGGTTAGAGTAGGAGATTGGTAACCGCTCACGAAACCGGACCTTTTCATGTAGCATACGCCCGTGCCATCGCCTAAGGAAGTCGACACCTGGCAGGTCGTGTCTGAAAGACAATTAGAACTGCAAGCAGCAATATTTGCAGTGTAAAGCTCGGTATAAATCTCGGGCGAAAATGTCATAAATAGTGTATTGTTCAAAGATAAGATAGTCGGCTGACAGTTCCGAATATCCTCCTTCCTCCTGCAGCCCTTTCGACTGTCATTTGGGTCGACCGGGTCGAAATTAGCAGATGGGCATTCGCACAACGGGCCAGAGCTTGTCTCGTCATCATACCTACATATACCGAAATTACCACAATAGCCAAAAACCTCACATTGATCACTAACTGCAGTCCATCTAACATCCAAACCCTCACTAATAATTCCACTAGAACTGTACATTCTCATATTCCCATCACAATCCAATTTGACAAAACTGAAACTCACTTCGCCGTATCGGTTGCTTCGGGCCATGATCAACGGGCCGGTCAAAAGGGTTTGGTCGGAAAGCGAAAAGATTCCGGCTTGCTGCACGGTTAAGCTGGGCGAGGTTAGATTCAGGTCGCTGGTGGTGGTAGTGTTAATCCCTGAAGAGGTGTAGTACACAATAGTGTTGTTCCACCTGAGGGCTATCTGGCCTGATCTTATCAGATGAAAGGAGTAAAGCCCACATGACAAAACATGATCGGCGGTGAAATTTTGTCCTGGGAGAATCGTGTACGTCGGATTATCGAAGGTGGACCAGACGGAGAGATTCCGGCGGTTCTTGAGGATGAAATTACCGGTGTCCTCGAGGGAGGCGGAGGTTACGCCCAAACCGGAGGTGTTGGAGCGCCAGACTGGGAACCCGGCCGGGCTGGCGACGAGGAGGAGGTCTCCGTCGGGGAGGAATCGGAGCTCGGCGGAGGAGTTAACGGCGCCGCCTGGGTCGCCACCGGCTTTCCAGATTGGGAACCCGTTGTAGGTGACGGCGGCGGAGTACCTGCCGTCGGAGGTTCTGATGAAGGATAGAGCGAAGGATCTGTTCGGGGAAACCCAGGACTGCTGTGGGTTCGAGGCGTACAGGGTGGAGCCCGGAGGAATCTCATCGGCGTTAATGGCGAAGACGGAAAGCAAGATTGAGGAAAGTAGCCAAATGTTGCAGAACAATGAATTCATTTTCTTGCTTTCTTTTTTCTTTTTCTTTTTTTTTTTAAACCAATTGTTTAGCTGATGTTTGAGGTTGAGATTGAAGTACGAGAAAACGAAGACATGGGCAAAAAACACAGAGGTTGAGACAAGTCAGACTCAGACACACAAGATTGAATTAATTGCAGGGAAAATCAATGGCAAAAACACGAGTGGGAGAAAAAAGGGTGTTCTTGGCTACTTTTTTCCCCTCCAATCAATGATCACAGGTTATCAGTCTAATGGTTAGACGGGCTCTCATAATTTGGAGTAAAGGAATTCATGTTTGGGTTACTGCCATCTCATTAGAACATCCCGACCAGAAATTAAACTCGAGCTCGAGCCTTAACGAGCCGATCTTGAAATATAACGAGTCGAACTACAAAAATTACATAAAAATTCTCTTGTCGAGTCTTAACGAACATTATCGAATCGAACTGAGTGGCTCGTTAACTAAACAAGTTTTATTTGAGTTCGGACTCGACTCGTTAAGGCCTCGAACTCAATCATTAACAGTTGAGCTGAGTAATCCTGACTCAAAAGCTCAATAAACGATGGTCGT